TGTTGTGCATCAGCTCTGCAGGAAAGGGTGCCATGGACCACCAAGGACCACCATGACTAGATGAGCTATGGCAGCTCTCAGTAGCCACTATTTGGCAGCATCCCTTTGAAAAAGCTAAACTCTGGGACTAGAGATCTATTTTCCATAATGCCTAGTAGCTCGGAGATCCTGACTCCCTAAAGGCTTTCACATAGTGGTGATGCCCCAGGAGGTTACTAAAGAGAGCAGGATTAAGTCTATGAAACCCTACGAAGAATCAGCAACTGCAGCAAAGGAGTCTAGGCAGCCACAGGCTCAGGATGGACAGCTGTTTCAGAGACAGTTTGTAGCCCCTGAGCTCCACTGGCCCCTAACCACCTGCCTAAGCTGTCAGTGTCTAGATGCCAGATTCTGAACTCTCTCTATAGTACCCTGTCTCTGAATCATTCCTCCAACTCTGAAACTAGGCCAAACTGATTGGATACAAGAGAAGCGACAATGTCCCTCATTATTACGTAACCCATATGTCAAAAGTTTGATTCCCAGTGGAATTATCTTTTCTGAATTTCTCTGACTCTATATACCGTAAACGTTGAGTATTTTGGTATATTAATAGTTTCATGTAGTAATCAAGAAGAATACTTTTACCACCCTCCTATCAACCTTTCTCTCCAATCTTTATTATTCTATTTATAACAAGTATACAATGAATACATTTATAAAAAGGAATATGAGAAATGCATGGCTAAAGTTTGGGCCTGGGAGTGAATTTTTCTCAAAAGGAACACAATGGTATGATGCTGCTAAGCCACCTGGAAAGAAAGGCTGATTTTGTAACACATTTGGAACCCAGTTTACAGCAACAATAGAGGATTTTGATTCTGATAATGAATCCAATGATCTCTCTGAAGCTGTCAAAATGGTGGCTGATTGTTAATGATTTATCAAGACAAGATGTTACCAAGGTTGTCTTCACTGCCCCCAGCCTCCACCTTTTCCCTATTTCCCCACACTTTCCTATGGAAATGTGTCTACACCCCTCAGGCACTCATTGCTCTTGCGCATCCTTGGCCCAGGTTCCACTATTATGTCCAGTAGCAGGAAAGGATCAGGTCCCAGGCATTTATTTCCTGGGGTGAATGTAAAGCAAATTCGCCACCAGCCCTGCTACCACTACAAATATTAATTATCAGGTGTTTACCGTGTGCCAGGAACTATACCAAGTGCCTTGTATCTAGTAGCTCATTGAATCTCACAATAACTACATGAGGTTATCTTCTTTATTTACATATTTGGTGTAAATATTTACATTCTTTAGTTACTTCTTTATTTACATATAAAGAAACTGAATCAGGGAGAGGCAAAGTAATTTGTCCAAGGAATAGTCAGCAGTAGCACTGGGATTAGAACCCAGAAAATTTGACTCCCCAAACCTATGCTCATAACTATTATTCTATGTCAGGGGTTCTTAAACATTGGGTAGTATCAGAATCATGGAGAACTCAGTTACAAAAAAAAAAAAAAGGCCCAAACCCTATCCTAGTTCAAGGAGCTTGGGCATCTGCATTCTCTTTATTAACTCTCTAGGTGATTCCGATCCCCTCCAAAATTT